GCCTAACGACTGAGCCACCCAGGTGCCCCTCACTTGTAGCCTCTTGACAAACACTGAAACACTGGATCTGGTTCATTCGGACCCAGTGTCTAGTTCTCCAGATGACCGTAGCAGATGAGAAGCTGCCATTAAACCTTGTATTTCTGTATGGCCCAACAACCCTTGCCCTTGTTAAGTGTTGGGAAATGTCAGGAGATCTCTGGGATTCCCCTCAGTGGACTCTTGAGGCTGGTCCTTACAAAGCCTTAGTCTTTTCCTTGGATCCCCAAAATGGAGAAGAAACCTTTCTTTGAGTGATTTGGTCTGGCTCCTTCTGTGGTTGATAATCTTTAAGAAAGGACAGTAGCCTTTAACTCCTTGCCTTGAAGAGGATACCTGCCCAGCAGCTTTTTAAAGGTGATCTCTGTGGGGAGGATGAGAAAGGAGACCACTCTCTCCTTATGAGCATCTGAACATTCACAGTTCTACCCTGCTCTGGCCAGGAGTCTTTCCTGTTCTGTCCCCAGACTCTCATTGGAATATTATCTGGGGCCCATTGGATCATTTGGAGTGGTTTTTATTAAGTCATTTAATATTTGTGGCCCCAGGTAGGATGCTTGAGGCAAATATCAGATTGTCTTGAGGAGCATGGGAGCCAGACCTAAGATTGAGCCCTGCCCTACTGCCTGCATGCTGTGTGACCTTGGCCAAGTTGCCCAACTTCTCTGAGTCAGTCTCCCCCACTCCTCATAAAATAAAGGCTTCAGCTACTTGGTGTGAAGATTAAATGAGCTAGTACATGTAAATATTAGTTTTGCAATCATTTTTCTATTCTGTCCTCCACCTGATTATTTAATTCCTCACGGCGCTTACGTTCTCTTTACAGTTATTCCCAGTAAGCTGTTATTCAAATCTTGATCATTAGTAGAACTGTCGCTTTAGGGGCGCCTGGGTGGCTCAGTCATTAGGCGTCTGCCTTCAGCTCAGGTCATGATCCCAGGGTCCTGGGATCGAGCCCCACATCGGGCTCCCTGCGCTGCGGGAAGCCTGCTTCTCCCTCTCCCACTCCCCCTGCTTGTGTTCCTTCTCTCGCTATCTCTCTCTGTCAAATAAATAAATCTTTAAAAAAAAAGAACTGTCGCTTTATATACACTGTGGCTTAAAATAGTGAATTTGGTGTGATATATTTATTCATAATATTCTTCGTGTGCAGCCTCTGTGTAGTGACTTTATTGAATGGTTGAAGTAAGTGACATAAAAGGATGCTATTTGTCTTACTGGAGGGTTTTCAGTGCGTGTTTTCTGCTCTTCCTTTTCAGTACCAGTGAAGGAGAAGAAGCTCATGGATGTGAAACTGGGAGAGCTGCCCAGCTGGATACTGATGCGGGATTTCACCCCTAAGGGCATTGCTGGAGCATTTCAAAGAGGTCAGAGCCTACAGCCATGTGTTAAAAAAAAAAAAAAAAGCAGATGCCTAGGTCTTCTGGTCTCTCTTTGCTCTGAATTAATTTGAGCAGTCAAGGCCTTGTCTCAGACCAATAAGTTATGTAGAGAAGGACAGGGACAGATTCTTAGCCCCTGAAGCTCTGTGTTTGATTGGTGATTGGTCCTATCAGGGGCTGGCTCTAAGATACTTCAGCCAAGAAAATGTTTTCTGCTGCTTGGAATTGGTACCACTGCCTTCGTCTTAAATGTCTACAAGCATTTTTACATCATAAGACTTTTTAAAGAGGAAAATGAGTTTGAAGCATAGTGGACATCAGTCCATAAGGTAACGCTCATCCCCCTGCCAGGCAAAACTTCCAGGGTGGATGTTTGAAATGATCTACCCTTCAGGTCTGTGCACAGTCACATCAGTCCCGTGGGGCCCCTGTCCTCATTCCAGGAACCAGAGACCCACATCAACCCACGGATGCCTGTGTAGTCTCTGGCTTCGAGCCCCGCCCTTCCCCATTTTTCTTTCCAGTCCTGGCCGCCCTGTAACTCTTGTGTGGCATGTTTTCCTTCTGCCCTGAGAGGCCCTTCCTTAGCTCAGATCAGAATGCTCTGCCTTTTCCCCATACTTAGTGACAACAGTCCCTGACTTCCCATCTTCTCTCACTATTATAAACCAGGGCCTTCTAGAATCATTTCATTGATTTTTTGTCAACCAAGCTACAAGCCCCAAAGAGGGCAGAAACCGTTTCCTCACTGGTGGGGGTACCCAGCAAAGAGATGATCGCACAAAGCCTTCTTTCCCAACAGGCAGACCTAGCCGGCCTCAGCTAAGTGGCCTTTACTTGGGGTTGGATTTTTGGTCAGATTAGGGTAAGGGGATCCGTAGGGCTGGAGGTGAGGGTGAGGTAGGATCAAAGGCTAACAGGCTGAGTGCATTGGTGCTTTTCCCTTCATCAGCCAGTGAATTTAGGGTGAGTGGCTTTCAAGAGTCAGAACGGAAGTGGGTCCCTGAATTTAAGCCAGACTCGACTTTGCAGTGTGTGAAGCATTCACCGCAAAAGCAAACAGTGGCCTCCTCTCTCGTTTGCAGGTTATTACCGGTATTACAACAAGTATGTCAATGTGAAGAAAGGGGGCGTTGCTGGGATTTCTATGGTGCTGGCAGCTTATGTGCTTTTCAACTACTGTCGTTGTTACAAGGAACTCAGTGAGTGTCTCTCTGGTCGCCTTGCCCTCTGGGGTTGCTCATTGCTGGGTGGGACTGGTTCACTGTCAGGTTTACAAGTCCCTCATTCTATGGCAGCTGAAAAATTGGGAGGGACTTATGAGAATGTAGTACAGAGGATGCCATTTTAAGTGAGAAAATTGTGGCAAAGAGAAAATAAAGACAGGAAAACTGACATGAATCCCCGATAAAAGTAGTACTTAGGAAGCATTCTGTAAGGTGCTGCAGGCACTGCTGAGGGTTGGTGGAAAATTTTGGCTTCATCTTCCTAGCAGCCAGTGCGAAGAGAGAAAGAGGAGTGGTACAATCCAGTGTCTGTGCGGTGTTCTGGAAAGGCGTAGCTTGTCCTGGGTCTGAAGGCCGAGAGGAGCTTGTGGGGTGGGAGAGGGTAGCAGGGTGCCCGCGGTAGCCCCCGCCAGTCTGAAAGCCGGGGTGATGCTGGCTCTGAAGGCCAGGCTCTCGGGGACTGTGTCCGAGTGTGCGTGCGTCCTGGGAAGGATGAGGCTGGCCAGGCTGCAGATTAGCTCGACGTGCCTTTGTACCCCCACGTCTGCTCATTCTGCTGAGACCCTGGCAGGCAGGTTCTGGGTTGTATCCTGAAAGGAATTCTCAGCATGGCTTTACCCCCCCGCCGTTGTCTTGTGCTTTCACTACACCTTTAAAGAAACTTACCATCTTGCCTTTCTAACTTCAGAACATGAGCGGCTACGCAAGTACCACTGAAGAGGGCCCAGTGTGGAGGCACATTCGGCATTCCTGACCATGACCTTTGCCTGGCACCCTTGAATCTTTTCATATTCTAATTCAGAATTAACATCCAATAAAAGATGACTGGTACTCGGACTGCTTTCCTGGTGTAGCCATCTCCCTGCCCTCTCGGAGCTCTTGCTGTACCAGCGGGGATGAGACTGCTCTGCAGTTCCCAAAGGGCAATTCTTGTCTGTGGCCCAGGGCTTTGAACCAGTGGGCTGCCCACCGTGGCTTTGGGACCTCATCCCAGCTCACTGGAGGTGGAGGGTCATCTGGTTGAGCCTGTCAAGTGCCCAGAGGGGTTTCCCTGCTCTTTGCACCTGAAGTATTCTAAGCACTTCTGGCTTTTTGTCAGCTGATGCTTTTACATCAGAACTTGGGCCAAGTGCCCGAGAATGCCTTCTCCTCCCCCATCTTGCTGCATTATGCAGGCTACACTAGTGTGGGCCCTCCTGGTAAGGAAGCTTCTTCGCCTGTGGGAGGATTCAGGGGAGCAAGGGAAAACACAAGCCCTGACGAGAGCTCACAACTGCCCCCGTATCCAGCCCCCTCATCCTTACCCTTCATCAGAGATCTTCGGTAAAGGGACATGAAAGGCCAGAAGTGGTTTCTTGAGGGGTGTATGGTAAGAACATACTGCATGGAGTGTAAGGGCTGAGATGTTGTGACTAATTATCTCGTAGAAGATCCGCATCTGAGTAAGTGTTATCATTCCAACATCTGAGATGGAGTAAGGAGACCTGCCACGTGGCTGTTCAGACAAAGGCCAAGCTTCCAGACTTTACCAGCTGCCAGGACAGAGGCCCTTTCTTCCCCTGGCAGCCTCCCTCCCCTCCGGGAGATTCACATGTGTCAAAAGGGGACAAGCAAACACCGACACCGAAGCTTCGTGCTGAGCATCTCGTGCGGCCAGCAGCAGGAGTCCTCTCCTTGGCGTGGGGTCCCTGAAGTAATGAGACGCAGCTTAAAAAACAAGCTTTAATCAACCTCGTAAAAAGTGTTCTCGTAATAGAACTTGGATAGGCCCACTTGCCCTGCAGGTTGCAGGTGATGGTTTCACATTTCCAGGTTCGGGGGCAGGATGGTCTCCGGAGGCCAGAGGTGAGTGCCTGTACAGATGCTTGGCGGGGCGGGAGGTAGGTGCACAGATGGACCAGCTCCTCCATTTAACGGGTGCTCTGCAGCTCCAGCTGGCGGTATACCCTTGAGATATACCACTGTCAAGTAGGTGCTCCAAGGAAGTCAGCCCAGAGGAAAGAGCCTCACACCCGAGAGCCCTGCGCCCTTCCTCTCAACCACTGCCGCCTTCGAGCAGGACCAGGTCGAGGCAACAAGTGCACTTAAGTCTGCCCTGAAAGGCTGCCTTGTTCAAATCACATCGATAGGCACAGCTTCTGAATTCAGCAGGACATGGAGGAGGCAGGCATGACCTGGCTGAAGCTTTAAATGATCCACCAGCCCCTGGAGTCACCAAGAACTGGTGTTTAATGATGAGGCCTCGAGGGGAAGGGCTGCCTTCCATACAGCCTGCTTAGCACAAGCCCTTCCCCACGACCTCCTCCCCTCCCCAGATTGGTGGTGTGCAGGGAGATCCGGACAGGAGGTGTGGATGCTAGACAAACATGATGCTGACTTGGAAGGACCAAACTAGAGCACCTGTCCCTTTTTAAGAAAAGATTACAGCAAAATGACAGGGAAACTGACAGACATAGCCCCTCAGAACAATAACCCCAGCGTGCCTGCCTGCCAGCCCCGGCCGGTGCGGCACCAACACGCGTGAAACAGTTCAGTGCACGCTCCCAACGAGGGCCCAGAGCGGTTCCCAACAGTGGGCCCTCTGGGCTGCTCTGAGCTGGCTCCAGCTGCCGTCACTGTCCACTGAGAAAGGCCAAGTGCCCTTTGGTGCATCTGTTGGCGTAGTGTCCTTTCTCGCCACACTGGGAACAGCAGGGAGGGAGGGAGGAGACAGAAAAAACCACCGTTTTCAAATGCAATTTTCAAGTAAGGTCACACCCACCAAATACCAGGTTAGGGATGGGACTCTGCAATTCTCAGTGGTACAGACTTTCGTTCAAACATGAAGGAAAAGGAGCTCCAAAGTACAGTGGCCCAGAAACTCCAGCAACTCGGCAGATGGAAGAGCAGCTGCAGAGCCAGAGGACGATCTGCGAGCACAGCAGGGAGAGCTCCTGCAGGCCTGTCCACGGAAGGTCTCATGGTGGGTGGCAGGACGATGAGAATCCCGTGGCACCAGAGCTCCCCCACCTGCCTGGGGACCAAGCCCCTCTGTATGGCTGGCCAGTCACTTACCTTTCTGAGGCACTCTTCTGGAGACAGGAGGCAACAACGTGAGAGAAGCCACCAGGCTCCTCCCCGCAACCCGGGGACTCATTGCTGTGGACACAGGGTGGGCTGCACCCAGTTTTCCCTCCTGGCTCTTGCATACTTGCCTAAGCTACCCCAGGGACAGGTTTGTTACAGGATCAGAGAGATGGGACAATGGTTAGACTTGGGCGAACAGACCCAGAGCATCACTTCAAAAATCTAGCACTGACTCTGACTTATCTTGGCTCCGATTCTCCAGGCCCTTCCTTAGCTTCTCTTCATTCATTCTTGTCACTCAGAAAGCAGAGGGGATTTAAAATGTTGAACAGCAGCCTCAAGCACTGACCAGGGGGTTGGGAGGAGACAGGAGGGGGCACCCCCCCAGGGCCCTCGCAGTTCCGACCTCCTTGGCCTCGGGCCCAGATCTCCAGCCTGCTCTGTCTCCTGACCCTGCAGGACCCATGTTCTCAAGTCGGCCTGATCTGTAGGTGTGACTACGTGGATGAGTGGCCCGTGTAGCTGCCAGCTGGCCCTAACACCGAAGAGATGAGCAGAGGGAAGCACTGACCGGGCCCCTGCTCACAGCACCTGGCATGTCCATCGGCCTCCACAGCTGATCCTGGAGAACCCAGGATTCCCACAAGGTGCCTATAATGTCGACTATGAAGTGTGCGTGGTGAGAAGAGGTGGTTAGGTCCCGGCTCCACCTAAGTTCAGGACGCAGGAGAGCTTGCTGCTGAGGGCGGGGGCCAGGACGCCAGCCACACTGCCTCCGAACACCTGCATTTCCTCGGACTTGTGAAGTGACTGGTCAGAGGCACGGCCCCCTCTCCGTACTCTCCTCACCTGGTGGGGCTCAGGCTCAGAAACCTGAGGCCTTTAGTGGTTTGGGGCACCTGCCGTCCCCTCCCTGCGGAACACAAACCTCTCCTGGGAAAGAGTGCGAGCACTCTGTGTTTCACCCTGCTCTGTGTCTGACGGCTGTGGGAAGCGGCTCAGCGTTTCCTGAGGGAAAGTTCTGGGAACAAGTGAAGCTAAGCATACACCTCCTGACTTGAATCTTCTACTTGGAGGCATGGATGCTGCTGTCGGGCGAGAGCTCACAGATGTCTAAGTGTCAGATTCAGCACTTTTTAGCAGCAAAAACTAAACTGCTACCAACAGAGAACTGGTAAAGTAAACTGCAGTTCTGTACACACCCAGTGAAACAGATTTACGTTTACCGGCACAGAATGATCCACAACATGTTATCGAGAAAAAAAAGACTATACAGGACATTATACATCCCAGGGCCCTATTTGTATTAAAATACATGTTCCTTGTGCTCGTGTGAATAAAAGTTTGGCACCGCAGTTCCCTGTGTGGGGTCCCCTGTGGGGTGTGAAGGAGCACCAAAACCAAAAATCGTGACAACACAGCACATTCCGTGACGACACACGGAATCAAGTGGCTGTTTTAGGGAAGGTGGGGATAGGGACAACACTGCACCCAAAACATTTGTGTGTCATCTAAATGTTTTTACCAAAAGGGCGTACTAACTTTGTATTTTGTCTTATAATCCCCAAATCTGAAGTTTTTGTGGCCTCGTTCTATCATCAGTTATTTCTGCTGACTTCCCTCAGTGGTGGTGATTTCCTTCTAGGTTTTGTGATTTTTAATTACGAACTCATTCTTCAGAACTCTAGCTGTGGGAATTAGATGTGGTCGGGTTGAGAATAAATTCCTTGGAGAGCCAGGCACCAGGGACCCACATCTGGGGCTGTTTCAGATCGGAAAACCCAGTTTACAGCTTTCCAGAATATGTGCGAACTCATGAAGGGTCCCCTGGTGACTATAAACTCTCAAGGCACTTACCTCCCCGCCTTTCCATCCAGAGCCAAGAATGAGACAGGTTTTCTAGTAGGTTTTTAAAAAGTTTACCCTTTCCCTCAGGGGGGTGTGTGTGTGTGTGTGCTGGGGAAGAGGGTGAGTTCTAATCTGTTTTCTTCCTGGGTGGGCTTAAAGCTTTGTCCCCCTTCCCTTGGGGATGCCCTTGCAGGATGTGAGGACATCCAGAGGCTTCAGGGCCTACTCCCTTCCCTGGGACTTGTGCTTCTACTTTATTACCAGCCTCTCTTTCCCGCAAGCTCCGTCCTTTCATTCAACAGCATGTGTGATCATTCACTTGGCCTTGGTGTGTCGTGGAAGGAAGCAGGATGGTCTCCAGCCCACCAGGGTAGCCCATTTTCACTCTTACAGTCCAGAAACAAAGATACTACCGTTTTTCAAAATGAACTACGCAGGGAATGAGGGCACAGCCCCGCCCCACCCCCCAGCCCTGGGACTCACCTTGTAACAGGTGACCTGCTCCAGCGGCCGGGGTCCCCGGTTGCCTGCGCTGCTGTTTTGACTCTGCATGACCCCGATGACCTGCGGGGCTCTCTGCTGATTGGGAGAAGAGTTCTGACTCGTTAACTGGATCAAGGAGGACGACCTTTGTAATGGCGGATTGTTACTTTGCTGGAAAGAGTTACACAACACGGTTTTACTGCGGAAAACACGTGCACGCAGACTACCAATGGGGACAGGAGAAAAGAGGGCGGGACTGCTCCCGCACGACCAGCAGGAAGAAGGGCTTCCGTGGTGGCCCTGCTCAGGAGAGCAGGCAGGAAAGAAACATCTGGTGATGATGGCAGGAGCCGCTGCCCGAAAAACACCATGCAGACACACAAGAACGAAAAATAAAAGTAGAAAACAAAACACCAAAGAGACGAGGAGGTCTCTGGGGC